AGAGATTTGTTTGTTTGCTTGTGCTTATTGGATCACGATGCGGACGACCGAGCCTTCAAGAGACAAGGGAGGAGTTGCCGCGATGCACTGTGATTTTATACAATCTCCATGCTGTCAGTTACAGAAACATCCAAGAGCCACTGTGAGCACTATATTTCCTACTCACTATTTGAGATTTTAAGTGCAGCCTGAATACGAGCTTTGGTGAGCCGGGATAAAGAGTACTCAGGAAGTTTGATCAAAGACCAGCTCTAACGATTTGGCTAAACAACAATCATGAACTCTGTCTCTAGTGGAAGTCAACCTGAAACAGACTCGTCGTCGTTTAGGCAGCGCAACCAGCTGGCTTCCCAACTTGATCTTTACAGACCCAGCAGCTTCTTGCATTAAATCATACAATATTTGCCATACGGCACTAACATGTTGTCTCCTAACAGTTGCAAAGAGGCAGTAATCGTGATGAGTCAATAACAAATATCGTCTGTTCTATTACTTATCGTCCATAAGTTACATTTTCCGGAATTTTCTGCTTTCGACTGACACACCCCTTATATTGCAACTTAATCCCTTTACATAATTACTGTAAATTTCATGGCACATGACATGTATTAAGTCGAATCCCATTATCTTATTTTTGCTCAGCTTGAACTAATTTTCTAAATTCCATCGAAACATCAGCGAATAAGACTTGCGACTTGACAACATGGAAAAGTATGTTGGATTTATGTAACCATGGTCAATTAGAGTCACAACGTAACATCAACAAGTTAGATCACACCAATGAAACATGCAGCGTTAGCTTTTCTCCGAGAGGTTGCTTTTCGGCTGCATGTTACTACAGTTTCAAATGCTCAGAATACATGCTCATGACCAGCTTTCACCTCGCGGTTAGTTCTGCTTTCATTACAGCCAACGACGTCATCCCATATTGGCAAAGCTGTATTTACTTAACTTTTAGGCGAGTGCCGTAATACTTTATCCAGGACTTCGTTAATCATACCAGTATGTGAAACCTACATAACATACATATATATATATATATATATATATAGTGACCATGTTCACGTTTGAATCCACTGGTACATACAGGAGTGGGGTTCTTGTGTTATCTACTAAATGCTTCGACCAAAAAGTGCCTCACCAGCTACTTCTGCACCAGTGACTGCGCCACTAGTACACGCCATCACATGTATTGTTATACTGAAATAATCATGAGTTACGATGGTTACTTCGTAAATGTGCTGATGGTAACTGTTGATATCATCAATACTGCCCCTGGTTATCTAATACAGCAGACTTTCGTGACTATTTCAAATATTTCATGACTACTTTATGAGTGATTAGAGTTATATAAAGGTGAACCGAAACAAATTCTTACACCATCCTGTCAGTGTCATGGCGACCTACTGATTCCATCATATGAGACTCTAGCGTATGAGTCAAGGAAATATTCCGCACACTGGTAAGCCTGTTTCACCTACCTCGACACTGACTGTCATGGCAAGAGTAAGTCAAAAACATGGGTTGTAAGTCCTCCGAATCGTAGTTTTAACTTATGCTTTAGCAACTGGTCCGCTGATGTTGTTACATACAAAAAGCGCAGCAATTCCCGTCCATTATCCCATAGCGCATTGACCACCTTTTGTGTTAAGACGCCCGGTCTGTCAGATAAGCTAATATGTCGATTTTTAATGATGCATCACGTCACGTATTTGGACGTTCAGCCAAGAGTTCGTCTCTCGTGGCTACATACATATTCCATTCGTCACCTCGCTAATACTTATATGCATCAGTAGCTGAATCAGATGCTGAAATTTCTTCTTTCCCTTCGAATATGGGTTGAGAATTAAATTCATCCTGGGGATATTCATTTTCACACTCTATCTAACTATTGGCATGTTGACTGACTGAAAATACGTCCATGCCCATTTAATCACCTTTAAATTCCAAGGATTTCTTTCGCATGCCTAAAAGTGGAGAGATATCACCCTGTCTACTCACTACTTCAATTAAACTCTAAGGTTATTGCCAGTTCGTCATACTACTAGTGTAACAACAGAGGACAAGGGCCAGGCAACAGATCGTCTATTAAGGAAATCAACACATATTTAAAGATTTTCATGTACATTATTATAGATTATTGTTAGCAGAAAAACACAGTCTTCTGATTACTTGTTTCACGCTGACAGTTAATCATGCATATCTTTGTGACTGTTTCTTGAATGTCAGACCATCTATAAGCTCACTGTATCCGCCTGTGTTAAATCTGCTGTAGTTGTTTGTTGAATCAATCTTTGTTCATGTTTTTCACGGCAAATACTGGGTACGTGAAAACTGACATAAATTGCTGTCTACCAATTTGGCTAGCAGCCAGCTCTCACCACACTAGTACTGCTACTAAAACACTTAGAATAAAGTCTTTCACTTGACCGGTCTCTGTTGTTGTTTTGTTCCTGTTTTAAATTCACAATAAGCAGCGAATGTAATGCTTTCTTCCTACCAATGTGATTCTGGTGAGGGATTAACGTAGGGGATGAAAGACGTTTGTCAATTCAAGTGAAACTCAGTCGTTTCATTGTCGTAAGTCAGTTTGTTCATCTGGGAGAAATGAAACATTTAGTGGCCGATTAGGTTCCCAAGGGACAGGAGAGGGTCTGTCTGTTGTGGTGACCGTATTTTAGAAGCCAACTTTTCTGTTGAAATGATTGGTCAATTTATTGACTGGTTGTGGTGTGGAACAGCGGTAGTGTTTATGAACTTTTATTTCCCGAAGCATGGAGGAGACAAAGCACATGGGGAAAAACCTAGTCAAACAAACGGAAGGCTACACATGATTCTAAAGGTAAAGAAGGCCTTGCAAATCATAAAGGGGATTTAGTTCCTACATGGTTACCCGGCCTTTCCTTTAAAACTCCGTGATTAATTACTACGGCTGAGCGGTCATAACAAACAGTGCTCCCTTCGTATCAGCACTGATGGATGCCCCCTTGAACACCCGTAAAAATAAAATTATCCATTCTCTAGTTGCGCCGGTGTTGATGGTAGGCCTGGCCATTATGTTAGGCGGGCTAGGCAGGGAGTGCAGCTAAAGGTCAAGCAAGATAAATGTCCACACAGTATCCATGGGTGTTGTTTTAAGTTGAAGGCGATCAGAAACGAGCCCGAGGCCATTAAAGCAGAGCATATAACTGGTTTCCTAGAGCTACACTCGAGCTCTTCTGCATATTTTCACCTAATCACTATTTCGACCTGAATGTTTGTTAGGTGCTAGACCTTGTTTACCTCTCAGGGTCATTGTTATGCGCTATGGAGCTAAGACAACTGATGATGAATGCATACGGCCAGTTGGAAATGCTTATCCTTAGTCATCAATTCTCTTGACCATATAGAAGCAGTGGCCTCACACTAGCGTTTGGAAGTTTGAATCTAACGACTTGCATTGCACACCGTGGGTTATTACACTGATTTCAGATGGGCGAAAGCCCGTCCCGCTTTGCTGAACCTGGCCAGGTTTGATATCTTCATCCACATCGTCTGTAACTGAAACAGTGCTTTCCACCTCAGATTTCCGCTGATGATGACCAGTACCTTTTCTTTTCGGTTAGGCCTCTTCACCATCTCCGTGTTCTGTCAAAGTTCGTCTTCTCTGTCTCTTTAGATAACTCATAGATCTTCTGTCACTCGTCTTCAGGATTGTGCGACCTGAGATTTAACTCTTCGACAGAATCCAGATCTTCTCGATTCTTTCCATCAGTCCAACGTATGGCCTCCCTCTCGCTCCCTACAGTTTGTCAAATGACTTTGTCAAACGAGATGAGAAATATCACCACTGACAGTAGACAGCGTCTTGTTCATACACCCACCTCAAACACTTCGCTGACCTCTCCTTCGTGAATTAGCTAGCCGACTGCATCACTATTTGGCCACTGAATGAGATTCCTGTATTTGCGAAACCGCAATCGGCACTGTTGTAGCAGCTCACAGTTTACTTAGTGATGCCAAAAAACCTTTCGAAGTTGATGAACTTGAAGCAAATCGTTTACTGTCATTCTAGACCGTTCAACAATAATACATAGCACTACGGTTTTGTGTGCGTATTGCTTGTTTTCTGCTAATAAACCATATTATAGTATCGGTGTTCCACCTACAACACCTGCTTTCTCCTCCATGATGATGTGATTTATTATTTTGCGTGTCGTAGAAGGGAGTAACATTCCTAAAATTTGCTGTTAAGTGCTAAGTCGTCTTTCTTTGTCAGTTTGACAAGATGATCTTTCTTCCAATCGTCAGGTGCCGTCTCCCCCTTATACCTACTGCAGCAATGGTGTGACCATACAACCCAAGGTATTTAGATTCGTTCCTGTTTATTCTCTGGGACTATCCAGCCGGTATCGGCTGTGATGAAATACAGTAACCAGCGAAGATTTGGCTTGAGGCTGGCTCATTTCACTAATTTACGAAGTACCCATTTACAGTAAGAAAATAACCGATTTATATCCAGATGGAACCAATGATTTCAGCTCATCACAAATTAATATAAACCATTCATTAATTATTTTATTTTAAGAAATATTAATTTAGTCTGTTTCGTCGTTATACGTGCAAAAGACAGTTTTCAAACAATGCTTGTCGTAATTTGTATGCTAACATATACTTTCACATTATTTCGTCAGTTGATGTCCTCCGAAATAAATTTATGGCTCCTTCACCTGATCGAATACGAAGAACATTTAAATGTTCTCAAAACATGGACTTGAGATTTTGCAAGTTAGTGAAGTACTCATTTCCAAACGTTTGGTCAAGCCATAGCAGTGATATGAAGAAAGAATGTGAAACATGATATAACTTAGCAAACCAGGGAATTTCTGTTAAACCTAAATCTCTAAAGTTCACCGTGAAAAATATTCAACATTCTCAATTTGTTTATTGAAATATTAGACATCGAAACCTCGTTTCGCTCTTTTTCGAAATACTTCGAGCGTGGTCCACTTAAGCCAGTCATGGAATCTGCAGGAGGTGGTCGGGGTGGATTTCGAGGTGCATTTGGTGCTAGAGGAAGAGGGCGCGGTCGAGGACGTGGTCGCGGAAGAGGTCGGGGCCGTGGAGTTGTTGCTAAAGAATGGAAGCCTGTAACCCAACTAGGCCGACTGGTGTACGACAAAAAGATAACAACACTGGAGGAAATATACATGTTCAGTCTTCCTATAAAAGAGTTTGAGATCATAGACACACTCTTAGGATCAAACCTTAAAGATGAAGTGTTGAAAATTATGCCTGTTCAGAAACAAACTTGCGCCGGTCAGCGAACTCGATTCAAGGCGATAGTTGCAATGGGTGATCACAATTGCCATGTAGGGCTTGGTGTGAAGTGTGCCAAAGAAGTTGCTACTGCCATAAGAGGGGCTATTATTCAGGCAAAATTGTCAATTATACCTGTGAGAAAGGGATATTGGGGTAACCTTATTGGTAAACCACACACTGTGCCCTGTAAAGTAACAGGGAAGTGTGGTTCTGTGTCTGTACGATTGATACCCGCACCTCGAGGTACAGGAATTGTTGGTGCTCCAGTCCCAAAGAAGCTTCTGCAAATGGCTGGTATCGATGACGTGTACACAAGTGCTCGCGGTCAAACATCAACTTTAGGAAATTTCGGTAAGTTGCTTTAGTTTTCTGGTAGCTAATTATATTTTTAGCCAAAGCAACGTATGCTGCCATACGGGCTACTTATGAATACCTTACCCCCGACCTGTGGAATGTTGCTCCAAAAGGAAAACACCTCTTTATCGAACACTCGGATTATCTTTGTAAAGCTGCAAAACAGGTTTGAATACAAATAAACTTTTGTGGATATTATTTTCTTCTGTTAATGTAAGTCTCTAGGGATATGATCCGTTTTTCGCGCAGAAACGTGTTTTCTCGTATCCATTCAAGGGAACACCTCTCTTCCGGGTTGAGATTGACCGTTCTCTAAAATGATAAGAGATAATCAGAGTAGTGATGCAAACGGATTTCAAGTGATTATTCATAAAGTAAATTCTAGTTTTTCTCAGGTAAGTACTCAGAAAAAGAGAAACTTCTCGGCGGTGTTCTGAGTTGCACAGCCATTCATGGGGAAAACTTCAATGGCGCGTCTAGTTGTGAGATACAAAAGATGACGTCTGTCATTAGGTTGAGGAAATTTACGTGATGGTTTTACAGTCGACTATGATTCACTAATTATCATCAGTCACTGTCTTGTGATTACTTACTGTGATAGCTGATTATGTTACAAGTGCTGATGTATTATTATCATGGATCAAATTCGGATATAACTGGTATCATGATATCATTCATTTCTAACTGTAGTGATTTAATGAACTGGAATTCAAAAGCTATGGTGTTAGGTATGTTGTAAGGGCAATGAATACATTTGAGGTATTGAGACTTGGTTATTTCAACCTCCTTGCTTTATAATGACATAAAAAGCGAGACAGCTTATTTAGCCACTGAATAGTGCATATCCTTGATTGGGTCAAACCTGCTGTAGGCGATATATCATGATTCAAAATTGTAACGTTGATGTTAAAACCAGTCGGTCGGATATGATAATCCGACGGTATTTGAAGCAGAAGACTATTGTGCAAATGGTGCTTATATATACGTGATCCAAAATATTCGTGTGACATTTCCCAACATATGCCATTTCCGGCATAGATGTGATTAGTTATTGTGTACTGCAGGACAGTTACCCCTCTCCTGCTCTCTGGCTGAGACAGGCATTCAGATAAGATTTAAAGAGAGGCTATCTTTGATCATAGGTGTTAGCAACTTATCTCTTGTCCTGAAGGGGTTTAAGGTGGTGAGCTACATTGACGTTAAATGAAGTGTTAGATAAGGAGTACAAGTCCCTCAATAAGGTTGCTAGCCTGCATGAGTGAAATAACTACGGCGTGTATGACACATGCCGATCCACTGGCTTCGTCGATTAGTGTTCGCTGAAACCACCGGGTTGTAAATGTCTGGTCTAATCAAATTGTAGCTTTAATCCTGGGACTTTGTTTAAGCCATGTGAGATGTATTGATAGCTCAACTGGGACGCTCGAGTTGCTGAGATCCTACTAGCTGCAAACCGTTGGTGGTATGATTCAAAGCAGTACTCGATGGCATGGGTGCATTCACTCATTGTGACCTCTTGGATCTATTCGGTTCTTATTTGTCTGTTTTTATTACCTTGCCCCTGTACATCATTGGTCATTACAGTTTTCGTGTTATTTCCTTTTCCGTGTGGCATCTGCAGTATGACAAGCTGAAATGCTTTAGTTTTATGTAAACTACGTCATATTATGTTGGATACACTACAAAGTACTTGTTGCCACATGGTTCATGACAGAAATTTTCGTTTCATCTGGTTACCAAAGTTATCTCAATTAGCCAATTGGTGTTAATAACCAGGCTTTATTAGAATCGCTCTACTGTGGTGGTCATGCTTGCATATTAAATAAATACTTTTGTGCTCTAAATAATTCTCAGACTCAGTGGTTTATTCACACTTATCAACTACTGGATGGAATTTTCTACACCATTCTCAATAATGTATAGACACAAGAAAAATAGTCTCTTGGAAAATGTCATTGTTGACTACATGTTGGTCTTACACTAGATTTTCATAATCATATTTCGCTGTACATAACTCTACCGTTGGAACGGTGTTTCAGGACAGGAGGGCTACTTATTTTCAATACAGCTCGTCATCCCGCCTGCCTTCAGTTCCGGTTGATTCAGTAAGTGAGTTTCATGCTTAAGAAGAATATTACTAGAAAATTGGACAGAATTTTCAGCATTTAAATGAGGACTTGATAAACATACTAAACCCAGTCAGCGTGTAGCTGAAAGACCAGGTCTCGATAAATGTACACAGGTGCTCCTATTGCCTTAAGCACTTGACTCAACTACTGGTCTTTTATTTGGCCGGTGGGTAGTAAGTATCGTCAGCTCACAAAACCTGGTAAGTGGAAAATCTGTCCAAATAACAGGAGCTAAAGTTTGAACATTTGGCATGTTAAGGTGTATGAAATCATAGGACTTTACGTGTTTGCAAGGTATTCACATATTACTAAGTTCCGGTTTTTTTATTTTCGTGAGCTGCACGTATAGTGGTGGCTACTGAGTGAAGTATCCTTTTCCTGTATATATGCAATCGATAACAACTAGGAATAGTTGATTAAGTCATCTGTTCTAGTGAACAACCACCAACTGCATTTCGCTTGGCCTGACTCTATGTAAATTGAAATAGATTACTAGGAAAACCGTAAATATTGATTAAATGTCTCATAATTGTTTTTATTGGCGCAGATTCGTTTGCTATGTACACTTCAGGTCCGTTAAATCGTGATACTGATCCAGTTAATTATGATACCTTCCGTTCGTAATAGTTCCTCTGAGTTTTCGGCTCTAATATGTGTGCTATGTAGTGTGGAAACTGGAAGTGCTGCACTTCTGTACAACTCTTCACAGGAAACTCAGTTTAGCTATATATATATATATATATATATATAATCCATGGATCTGTCTACATCGTGTAGTTCACTTCCTTATAGTGCACGACCACATATATACTTGACGGAAGCTATGACTGGAGCCGTAAGTTATCGATTTAAACAGTTGGCGTTGAGTCAGTGAGTTTGGAGTTAAAATCTACTGCACGTCCAGAGAGTTCGGAAAATATCGTCTCGCATGTGACTACGTATTTGTTGGCTGATAGGTTGCACACTGGTCTCCAGCAGTGTTTCTGTGAAACATCTTATGCATTACTAAATGTATGACTGTAGTTCGGTGATTTCTTTTTCTTTCACGTTCCCCAGTGGAACATAGGGCTTCAAGCTAGGGGATTGAAGTCTCTGTAGCAAGGTTGATTTGTTAGCCTTATGTCCAACCTTTCCTCTTTACCAGCATTATTTCTGGCTTACCGAGGTAAAGGAGTGTTTGCGGCCGGGGATCGAACCCCGGACCATGAGCATGGCCGGTGAGCGTTGTAACCGCTGTGCCACCGACGCAATGTCGGTGATTTCTTAGCAACAAATAAGGTGTGGACGCCTTTTTGAACTGTATCTACATAATACTATGTCTAAAATTTACGGAGTACAACTCACAGTGGCATTTCAATTTAGAAGAAATGTACAGAGACCGTTTTCTGTAAACACTTCTTTTTGACCTTCCACTCTAAGGTATGGTTAACAGTAATTTGTTGGAGTATGGTGATGGTAAGCGTGTTTTTGAGGAGTGATGATGTCCCCGTAAAGACTCGAACACAAAACCCACCTCTTCAAACGTTATAGCGTTATCCATCTGGCTATAAGGGCTACTTCGTGTACACTTGACGTGATATGAAATTATTTATATTATGTTTGTGATTGCCAATTAATGTACCAAACGCAATTGGTCAGTCTCATAAGAACAACTTTGTTCGATGGATCTAGATTTTCCGGATAGGCTCTGAAGTACCCACGGCATAAGATGGTAAAGCGTTTAAACAGTTTCTGCAAGTTAAACACTAGTTATTTCTCTGTATTATCTGTGCGTTTGTAGCTGTTACTCCTGAGAGGTAATTTAACAAAGATGTTTGAGTGCTCAACTATGCACAGTTGGATTTCATCGATGATAAAAATAGTAACATTCGGATTAACTGTAATCATTTTAGGATGAATTATACCGATTTGATTTCAATCACCCGAACGTTACTAACCTACGAAGTTGGTATTAATGGGGAGTTGATTTTCTCTCGGAATTCATGTTATACAACAGTGTTAACGCTCTTATGTGCACTTTTGAGGAAAAATGTGAACCGGTTAAATAGTGGTCAGCAGTTATATATTTGAGTTTACATATTTTAATAGTAGGGTGGGACAATGACTATCGAAGATCAAATGAAACTTTTAATTCTGGTTGAATCATCTAATATTGCTGTTTATTCACGATCACATCTGTGAGTAAACCTTCTGTGACTTGCTTATATACATAAATTTTAATGGTACTCAACTTATATGTAAGTTACGTTGACTAACTTGTCTTTCAGTGAAACGATTAGGTGTCTGACTGTGTTATTAATAGTACATGAACCGCAATACTATGAAATCTTGTAGCAAAGAAAATCAACAATATTCATATTAAACTGAAAGGTAAAATAACTGATAATTATGCGAACTTCCACTGCATGAATTAATTGTAGCATGCAAATTAAGTGTTGGAAATGAAAGTATCTTAGAAGTATTCCTAAATAGGTTAAATAGAGGTGTCCTATTAACGGTTACAAATGTGGAAGTTTGACAGTTTTATCTTAGTGCCTGATATACAATTAATTGATCTCAAATTTAAATCGTGTTGTATCTTTCGATAAAGAAAGGAAGACGAAATTTGCAGTATAAAAAGTGATATCATTCTATTTCACAGGTTCTCATCAGCTAACTGCAAACTACCTGAATTTACAATTGTTATATAAATGATAAAAACATACTTTAATGTTTGAGTGGTGGTAGAGAAGGGATACCATAAAATTGACGCATCCAAAATGAAAGCATTACAGTTTTTAAGTTTAAGTTTTCATCAATTTATACGCCTCCAACTACGTTTATGAATTTACGTGCACTTGCGGGAGCAAGTACATTGGAAGAACAGAAAGAGGGGCTTTTATCCGGTTTTTTGAACATATTCCAAGAAACCTGTGCCTGAAAGGAAGCAAATATTCTCATAGTGCGATTACCAGATTTATTGTTGATACTGGACGTCTTGTAGAGATTCCTAAGTCCTTCAAAATATCAAATAGACAAGGGGCAGCTAATTTACTACGATTTGCCGAAGCGATCGCAATCAAACAATTTAAACGAGACTTATGCATACAGAAAGAGAGTGATTAACCTCTCACTCCCTTGGTAACTGAATTTTGATTACATTAATTAGTCATCTATTTCAGTGATCTCAACTCACTGAACAAATCTTAATCTCATAAACTGTACCTGCTTTTGTTTTTTGAGTTGCTATGTGAACCTACAAGCTAACACTGTTCTGTCAATTGACTTTTTCTGTCTTACCCCTCCATCCTCTTTTCAACTTTAAAAGAGTATAAACTGATGATGAAAACTTAAACTTAAAAACTGTAATGCTTTCATTTTGGATGCGTCAATTTTATAGTATCTCTTCTATACCACCACTCAAACATTAAAGTATGTTTTTATCATTTATATAACAATTGTAATTTCAGGTAGTTTGCAGTTAGCTGATGAGAACCTGTGAAATAGAATGATATCACTTTTTATACTGCAAATTTCGTCCTCCTTTCTTTGTCGAAAGTTATCAAGGGAACCAACTGTATGAAGTTCGTGTTGTTGTATCTGCTCACACTTGAGGCAACTCGTTGCGCCATAGGCTCTTACAAATGAAGTGTTGCCCACAGCCTAGTATATGCTAAACCTTTCTTGAGAAAATAGCCCAGGTTACTGTTGCTACGTTAAAAGACTAAACTATTCTGCACTGTGTGGAATTTTGGAAAACGTTGGCTAGGGATAAAAACTAACAACGTAAACGTAGCTGTATTTCTTATGCAGGATTTCGAAGTTAATTTTTCTTGTGATTGGTATGTTTGTTGATAATTAAATGATATGCGGCCTGAACAATAAAAGTCATTAGGCTCAGCTCAGGTGGCGTAATACACTTATGCAGTGAATATAAAAGTTTTTAGACGTTGTGAAGTGACTGATTTCATGAAGATGAATAGTTTAGGGAAGAATTCAGCAATCGCAGAGCATGCATTAACACACAAATACAATAGAGCGGGAAAGAGTTGCGGTTCTAGAAAGTTAAATAGGTAGGTGTGGGGGGGGGGAATATCGATTGCTGAATCTTCGTTCAGCAAATCTATAACTAATACGTGCAATAGGAAGGATGCAACACCAATACTATAGATACGAAAAATACTACTGTCAATAAAACCAATGGATAAGAATTAGTAGAATTACATAAACACTGTCGGAAGGTTGTGAGTGCCTTAATATGGTTACGAATTTTGCTGGAGGCGTGTTCAGTTAATATCAGAAGACGGAGAGTAACTTCCATGAGTGATGTACATTACAGAAATAGTATTACTTATAAAATATTACTTTTTTCATACCCTTTTGCATTAGTAATAAGTTAAAGCATCATAAACCGACTTCTTGATTAATTTCCTCCTGAACTGTTTAAATTTTCCTCCCTTTAATAACATACCCAACCTCTAAGCTGCCAATCTTGAGATTTTTAAATTCTGTGAGAAAGATCCCAACCCATGTGGATCACTCGCTTACGCACTCGAGTGTCAACTGTTCCATCCACTTGAGCCTAAGCAAATGGATAGTATAACCAGCCCCCATAAATAGATGTGGATTATAGCCCTGTATATAAAAGATCTGTATCGGAGACTGAGTTAAAACAAATGTAAAATAAATAATAGTAGCGATAATAATAATACTAATGACCACATGCGCAGGATAATGAGAACACCAACAATAGGGAATGCAAATCATCAGTAGTATTTCATACAAAGAAGGAACCTAGGAAGCCTTACGGAGAATCCTTAGCAATACAGGAATAAAAGTGGCTGGCAGTGAAGCCTACAAACTCAATTAGAAACAAGCTTTGTCGGTTAAAGGATCCTGTGGAGCCAATAGCACAAAACAATTTAGTTTATCTAATACACTGTCTACAATGACTGTCAGGTCAGAGTGGTAGAACAGGGTCAGTCAGGCTAGCATAACATAAAAACTTAACGAAATTCCGATTAGTTGACCCGGATAAAGTAAGAAATACGGAGAATAGTTCAGCTATAGCACTCACTACATGCAATTACACACAACACAGGCATACATTAGGATAGGATAAGGTGAAAGTTTTAAGATCTAATGTAACAGGATGGAGGAAGGGAGCGTTAACGGAAGATTTATTTATCAAATCAATTGCAAGCACGTGTATTGTGAATGATTCAGCACCTCTTCACCTAGACATCCGGAAAATTCTATTACCCCTACGGCAAATAGGACAGAACACAGAAATCTATGAGACGAAATGTTCGAAGTCGTGTGATTATAATTAGTATGATTATGAACAATAAATTGTGTTTGAAACCTTTTCATCCAATAGATGATACCGTTGCACGGTGTGATATATTTGACAAACGAAGTAATATGAAATTACATACTCCCATAGTGCTCAATTTTTTCACATAGACCATTGAGTTCAAACACAAATAACGTAACCTACAGGAGACATGGATAAATCCTCTACCAATTGAGTAGGTAACATATGCTACCTAACACTCATATTCTTCGAATTAAAAAATTCACATTGCAATAAAATTCTCTACTGCCAGGTTATGTTATATTTCGTGCATACACTACATCTAGCTTCCTATCAAACGGTGTGTGTACTATCCAACAACCTGCTCTTTTCTATTTTACAGTTTTCCACCACGGTCGCTAAAAGTTCCCCATTCTTTCACCAATCTGTTCACTTTAAAATTTCTTAGGTTATGAAATAGCGAGAAAGTGGATTAGGAACACACTTAGTTCAGCCTAATTCTTTGAAAGGTGTACTATGACGTAATCGTGAAGGTGGTGGTCATTGATGCACCGCCTAAGAACAAAAAGATGCATTTACCAAATACTACTTACTTTCTTATCCAGAAATATCGATTTCTTAAAGTAGCTTTATATATATATATATATATATATATATATATATATATATATATATATAAAGTGAAACGAATAGTTGGACATTGAAAGTGGAAGACATAAAGAAGCTAGTCGTCTTTTGTCATAGGTATTTACATTCTCTCTTTTGTCTTGAGTGGCATAATATGGTGAGTTATATTGCTTGCGTCCACGGTTTAGTGGTACAATGTCCGCCAACCATGCAAGTGATTTGTTTCAACTCTCAGCCTGCGCATTCCTGAGCAATTTTAAGTCGGAGTAATCCGGGGAAGGAGGAGAAGATGGGCGCGATGCTGGCAACACAATCCATAAAACAGGGCACGGCAATTGAAACTTCATACCTTAGACTTGTAGCCCTATGTTTCAGTAGGATCGCAAAGGAATATAGAACAGAAGAGAACTATTGACGACAGAAATAAAGTAATGGGCAAGGAAGCGGCTGTGATAAGTGCTACTCATTCTGACCCATCTCTTTCCTCGTCGAGCAATGCTAGTCGATATCTGAACAGACTAACAGAGAATTACCAGGCTGCTCGAATAAAAATTCGGACTGTTGTTCGTGCTAGCCACGTAGAGAAGTGTAGACCACATATTTAGGGTGTGTGGGTTGCTAAGATCCATTGCTTTAGATTGCTGGTGATATGATTGGAAACCTTTGGCGATGGTGCAGATGTATTCACTCTTCGTAATTTCCCGAAAGCTCAAAGTCCCCCTTGCTTCCGCATGTAATTCCTCTTTCTCCTGTACATTCTGTTTTTGTAGTTTCCTTGAGATTGCTTTCTTCACGTTTGTACGATGTTCTGTAGTGTGGCAGACTGGACTGCTGTTTTTTTGTGCAGAGTTCTATGTAAAAATTTAATTCAGGTAGGAGAAAACGATGGCTAGTAACTTCATACAGTTATACTGCCCAATATGTCGCTTTTTTATTCAGACAAACAACAGTTATGATTCCAGTGGCCGTCTTAATATGTGACTTTGAAATAGTCGATTTAGAAGAACCTTTACATTGCTAGTAGTTGTTCTTTCAAATTCAAACTTCTGATACAACTAAAAGTTTGATTCACATTTCAGTTTATCATTTAAGATCGGAGTTTTGGTCTTTTTCTACAAGCTGTATTCCTTTTTATCTTTGATAAAGTTTCATCAAAGTGATAAACAAGTTACTACGCTCTCAATTAACTTCAGTCAGTGACAAGCTAAAGCGCACTCACAATTTTCCTGTCTATTCATAGGACTCTTTTTTCATCAATCATAACTAAAAGCATTGTGGAAAGATTTAGCTTAGGATATCTGCCTGGATATCCGGGAAAATTTAACGTACAAGGGTTACAACTGAACCAAATTTCACTATATTTCTAAATCGAGCATTTCTCATCAAGCCTATGAACGGAATGATGAAACCAGGCCAACATGCTTAAGCAAATTTTCTTTTTGAAATTATTCACGCCAAACCAAGACATAATGATACGTCACGTGCATACCGAATGACTGATATAAATATTAATTACCTATCAGTTTTCACTGTTAATAAAATTTTTCAAATTTTCAGAAGTAAGAATATCCTGAAACTAAGAAGTTAAATGCTTTGACGCAACTTTTGTAAATGTGACGAGAATAATATTTTAAAGGCGGAGAAAATTTATCGATTCAGTAGGAAATTAAACAGCCTAAAAGGAAACTTCTAATTATTCCAGGAAACGTTTCGAAAAATGAATGATAATCGTAGTCGTACAACGGAAACTAAATGGACAAATACTGGTTAATATAAATAGCTTAAAACTTATCATTCACTCCGCTAAGACACTATTAGATGAATTTAGCGGGTATAAAACTATTCTATTACTGCAAGGACTTGATATTAATGTATATTATACTTTACTTACACTTGATCAACGAGAAACTATCCACTATGTCTGTGACAATCTACTTTCATTTCATTCACCTATCTAGTGCTCAAATAATGTCTTTCCTAAATACTTTTATATGTGACTTCATCTACCTCGGATATTCTCAATAGAAAAAGAACATCATAAACAAAGACCGCTGCTTTCAGAAACATAAACTTAAAAACATTTTTATTTACCTGGACTATACTTTTCCAACTGACATTAAAGTTTTCTTCTTCAAATCCGAGGGGCTTGAACTTAGGAAATTCTTTGTTAAAATTTGGTAAGTCTTCAACATTGTCCCAAGTTCGGGATGTTGGAGTTCCTACGGCTAATAGTGAAATTAATGCACCTTACCTAGCTTTCTAAATATAAGGTACAACTGTTCTATTTCAGAATCACCAGGAAATAACACCTTCCCTTGAACCTGTTTAGACAGTTAAAATGTAGTTAAAGTGTCAAACCATTTCATATAATATGCATCCAAAGCTCCAAATATCAATTGAATGGCTATATTTCTTTGTTCCAAGAAGGATTTCGGGAGCCCGATACCACAGTGTAATTACTTCTTGAGACAATGTGCGGTGAGGTATTGAAGTTGTTCGAGAAAGTCCGAAATCAGCTATTTTTACAATACCATGGATTGTTATCAAAATATTTGAGGGTTTTAAATCTCTATGAATTACACGGTGCTTGTGACAAACGATCAGTCCGTCGAGTATTTGAGTGGCAAATGACTGTATTTTGGAAAAAGTTATAGAAATGTGTAAAAATACAGGCTACCTTAGCAATGTCACTTGGTAAGCATTGACAGGGTAAATTATTTTCTAGAGTAACATCTGCAAACCTGTGGATAAAATCCTTTAGATCCCAGTCTGCAAGTTCATAAACAATGTAAATTTGACTTTTGTTATGCAAAATTTCATGTATCCTTCAAAGGATTATATTTTCTGTAATTGCATATATACCTGATAATATTATCACAGTTAAAGTTATTGAGCTCCAGTATAATTCCAATTTCCCTCATTGTTGAAGCATGTATGGATTTTTCAGAACTTTGGATAGATGAATAGACATAAGTTTAATTTCGCCTACCCAAACACGTTCACTTTTTTGACTGCATAACGCTCTCCAGACATTTTGTCAGTGGCTAGGTAAACTTTACCATAGGTACCAGAACCTAGCTTTTTGCCTGTTACGTATCTTTCTGACAGTTTGTTTCCTGTTGTACTAGTACATTTCAATGTACCTGTAGCGTCGCATAAACCCATTTCTTATTTGAACGAAGTGTTATGAGGAATTCAATATCCAATATCGTCTTTACGAGCTAGTATAAACCAATTTGATTGTGAGGAAAATGCCCCTGGTCTTTGATAAAATTATTTCGCAGACCAACCACTCCCTTTGTCGCCCATCTTCGGATTATTTTCAAGAGGTTTGCATCTGTTCTAGGCGGTGGGGAGTGCAATGACACTATGCATTTCAAGGTGTGGTCTTACGTATGTTTTGTACAACCTTAGAAGGAGCTTAGGAATGTGTGCACCAAACTGTCAATGTGTAAAGTGTATGACCACATATGCCCTTGCTACATCCTCCATGTAATATATGCTTGTGTCTATATTTTCCTTTAGAACTGGCCCGAAGTCACTCTCCAACGTTCTGCAGGATTAGTTTTTGTCACGCAGGGTGTAACTTGCACTCTGCGACATACATGTGAGTAATTTCACCACTCTTCTCTTTTCCAGGTTGAAAGTCACGCCATCGGCCATCGGCCAACCTTCCAGAGACTGTAGATCTCAGCTTTCCGAACACTTTATTGCTCTCCATAGCTTTACGTCGTCAGTGTAAAGAATAGTCGGCCATCCCATACGGCGCGGTAGATCATTGATAAAAATCAAAAATATCAGTGGCCCTGGGATAGAACCCCGCGACACTCCTGATGACGAGCCATGCCAAGGTGACCGGATTCCACTGACCTTAGTAAAAGAATTCCTTACAGCCACGTAGTCTTTCAAACATGACAGAAGCGGCTTACCTATACCTGATTGACGTATTTTGTGCAGGAGAAGGTCATGGTGAACTGTGTCAAATGCCTTCTTAAAGTCTAAGAAGACCACATAGACTGTAACATTCATATCCCAGCATGATGTCTAGTCATCTCGAGCTAACAGTAGGTTTGTTTCACAGGATCCGCGTTTACTGAAAGCATGTTGGGCTCTTTGGAGTCTTTTAGTAATGTCGAAGTGCTTCCTGATGTAAAGATCAATAATACTTTCCAGTGCCTTTGATACCACTGTGCGTCGGTGGCACAGTGGTTAGGACGCTCGCCGACCATGCACATGATCCGAGGTTCGATCCCCTGTCGACGCGCACCTGATATCTATGGTCGGCCTGCAAAATTTGGGCTGCCGATATCCTTGCTGAAAATTCCATACTTGTACCAAAAATAAAGTGTGGAATCAAGCTGTAAATAAAAAATAAAATAAAGTAGGGATACTGGTCTCTAGATAGTGGCACTTGGCCTATCCCCAGCCTTGAAGATCGGAGAAAATTCGGCTCTTTTCCACTCCCTTAACAGCTTCCCAGTACCCATCGAGTGCTTGAATAAGTCTCATGAGGGCCTGCAGAGACCTTCGGCTCGCCATTTCAGAGCAGAAGGCCTGATGTCGTCACAACCTGGAGACTTTCCAGATGTGTCTCTGTAGCTTCCCCAGTACCATTGCCCGGTTTATTTGCGTAGTAGCCACTAGGTTTTTCTCCCAATAAAGTAGTAGCTCCGCCATTTCGTTCCATATCAGTAATACCCACATCTCTGTTTGACTGTTTGGTGAAGGCCAAACTGAATGTTTCAGCCACCTCCAGACTAGCGAGATATTGACCATTTGAACCTATAAAGGCGCATGCCCCTTGGTTGGTTTACTTTCCAACGTGAATCGGTACATTCTTTGGGGGTTCGCCAGGAGTTTTTGAAAATGTTATCCTAAAATGACTTCCTGTCCCTCTTTAACCACATGTTGCACCGCTTATTGAACTTCAGCTACGCATCGTGGTCGGTCTGACTCTTGGATACTCGCCACGTAGACCAAGCCTTCCCCTTTGCTTGTAGAATACGTTGCGTGCCTCTCTTCAGCCATGATGTTCGTTTTTTGGCTGAGTTGTCAGTAAAGGGACGGTATCCGCGATAGCTGTGTGAAAAATCTCTTATACCACTTCAGTGATACTCACTATTTCCGCAATAGCCGAGAATGTAATATGCCTATAGGAACAGATAATCTGAGGAAGAGACCCATAATTGATAACGAAAACACATGGTATCAATGTAGTTGACGATTGAACGATCAATTCATGGTTGTTTGCTCAAACCCAACTTCCCTATATTTTCACGGAGACATCGATACACCAGTCATCGTCTCATCGGTCACTGTTCAGAAAGAAGTCAGACCAAAACTGTCAGAAGTAATATTGTGATTTATTATTGTAATATTTGTTCATAGACCTTAGTTAAAGCTTAATTTTAAAGTTGGATATATGTTGGTGTTAGAATAAATAATTCTCGAGTAGCCAATGGGTGTTTTGGTTTTTGCGTCCGTTCGTACTAAGCGTTTCTGAGAAACTTCAAGGAACAGCGTGAGTCCCAGCGTGGCAAGAGCTGGGCATTGACGGTTTACGAGACGTGACTGACACATGGGCTACTAGACGGGACACCACTAGGTTTCATATCAACGAAAATGTATACTCGAACCCATGTTGTAGCTACGTAAAGCCCCATCGGCATAAGGGGTGTAGATTGGCCAATGGTCCTTCTAGATACACACACGTAATGAGTCAGCAAATGTACAGCTACGTAAAACCAGACACACACTATCCTAAAAACAAGGAACCATGGTCCTGTAAATCGCAATGTGAACAGTCTTCAACATTTTACTCAACTTGCGTGTACAATCCGCCATGCAGACACAAATGGCGCCAATGGAGAATTCTGCAATCGACCGCCACCTCACTTGATGCCGTCGAACAATCCACCACGTCCTTATGTAGTTTCCGAATCGACGATCGAATTTCTTTCTTGTTATAAAACTACGATGGGGATGCTGCGAAAATGGAATATATACGTCAATAAACTTTAAGCCAAGGATGCTGTTCACAACAAAGTTATACAGGAGAATCGACTTCAAGCTTTAATTTTTCCAGATATTTTTCTTACATTCATTTGGTGTCTGGGTTTTTATAAATGCAAAAACGTTTCCGACTGACTCTAATGTGAGAAAGCGCAACCAATTTTTAAGTTCACCATATATCAAAATATACGTGGTTTATATCACGACTTATGCACCTGTGTACAATAGGTATGTTCCTGCATAAACAGGAATAAATGTATATTATTTTCTTTTATCTCATTCACTTTCTAATAACGTCTTTACTTGGTCCTCATTATATTCCATTAAACCTGACATTTTATAGCTATTCATGAATTTGATTCGACTTATTCTATTCCTATTCTCTGTAGGGTGCGGTTGTGCATCAAATGCACAAAAAGGCATAGAATATAAAAAAACCGAGTTAAGGAAAAAATGTATTAAAACCAAAAGTGGATATGATGATAGTGCAAACTGTACACGAAGCATCATACATTGCAAATGAACGCTGTCAACCTAGTGAGTTTACTTTATTAATGCATTCATTAGTGATACTTGCACTTACCCATTTCATTACAATTTATTGATTCACATTAGCACTTTTACTTTTCTAAAACAGCTTTCAATCCCTTGTAAACGTTGTACTTACCTCAATATTGGTTGGTTATCGTATGCCGACAACCACGGGATGAAAACGAAACGAAGTCGATTTTCCCGCTCAACCTGGAGGACAATTGTACAATTCAATAACTATACGGCCTGGTTCAGACAATGAGTGTAATTATATATATGTATCAAATATTTAACTGTTGAAACATTATTAACTTGTAGGCAATCTATAAAAGCGGTAATGACATGAGTTTACTCTTACTCAAGTTATACTCAATTTCATTAAGCGATGGGACATATCCTAACTGCTGGAAGAAGTCTTATATTGTACCTATCCACAAATACGGGCCTGTAGCTGATATCAACAACTACCGCCCCATCAACATCACGTCTGTAGTTTCACGTGTAATTGAAAAGATAGTTAAGACTCAAATCATTCAGTACTTGCTGTCAAATGACCTACTATCCCCATCCCAATACGGTTTCTTAAGTAAAAGGTCGTGCATAACTTGCCACTTAGATTATTTTGACTACAATACACAAAGCATTGATAATGGGCGTTCGGTTACAACATTGTTTCTCGACGTTAGCAAGGCCTTCGATAAAGTCCCACATATCAGACTCCTAACAAAACTCCAATCATACGGAATAACCGGAAAGCTTCACAAATGGATAAGTTCTTTTCTCACAGAAAGACAGCAGTTAGTCAAAATCAACCACCAGTTGTCTTCCTCAAAGCCGATAAACAGTGGTGTATATATATTTCTCCCTGTTTATGCAGGAATATACCAATTGTACAGGCATGGATAATTTATTATATAAATTACACATGATTTGATGTATAATGGATTTACAGTTTGGTTGTTCTTTCTGACATGAGAGTCAGTCAGAACAGTCTGCTATATAGTCTGTTTGTGTAGCACATAAAGAGATATAGAAATATTGTCTTCGCATTAAAAAAAACCCAGACATCAGATGAATGTAATACGGATATCTGGGAATAGGTAGTGTTCTTGGCCCTATTCTGTTCCTCTTATTTATAAATGACATAATCTCTGTAATCAACTATGGCAAGCCATATCATTTTGCAGATGATCTCAAGATAGTATATGATTATGGGTACGGTGATATGTGCGTCGAAAGCAAGATCCAACAAGACTTAAACGATCTAGGCGATTGGAGCGAAAAGTGGCAACTGACTTTCAACACAGACAAGTGCGGTATAACCCACCTTGGACGCTGGAAACCGATAATTTGCCTATATATGTAAGGTAAGCTCCTGTCAAAACTGAACACAGTCACAGGTCTCGGGATAACATACTCAGATTTATCCTTTTCCCATCATGCAAACAAGGTTGTATCTGACTGTAAACGACTTACTGGCTTTGTACCGCGTAACTTCTACACCCAAGAAGCAAGATTAGCTATATATAGGACATGTATCCGTCTCAAACTTGAATATTGTGCTCTCCTATTTAGTAACCTCAGGTCTGTAGACATAAAAAAATTCGAAAGTGTCCACAGGT